TTAGGACATCTACTTTGTTCATGACACAAATAATTTTTCCAACAATTGTTTACAGACGGATTATTTCACTTATAATTCACTGTATCACAATTCCAGTAGGTAAGAAGTTTACATACACTAAGTTGACTGTGCCTTTAAACAGCTTGGAAAATTCCAGAAAATGATGTCATGGCTTTAGAAACCAGTATGAAAAAAAAAAGACAAAAATAAATCAAATATGTATGCACTCACTAACTGTAAGTCGCTCTGGATAAGAGTGTCTGCTAAATGACTCAAATGTAAATGATAGCCTAATTGATATAATTTGAGTCAATTGGAGGTGTACCTGTGGATTTATTTCAAGGCCTACCTTCAAACTCAGTGCTTGCTCAAACTTTGCTTGACATCATGGGAAAATCAAAAGAAATCAGCCAAGACCTCAGAAACAAAAATGGTAGACCTCCACAAGTCTGAAGGTACCTAGTTCATCTGTACAAACAATAGTACGCAATTATAAACACCATGGGACCATGCAGCCGTCATACCGCTCAGGAAGGAGACGCGTTCTGTCTCCTAGAGATGTACAGTAGGGAGAACAAGTATTTGATACACTGCCGATTTTGCAGGTTTTCCTACTTACAAAACATGTAGAGGTCTGTAATGTATCATAGGTACACTTCAACTGTGAGAGACGGAATCAAAAAAAAATATCCAGAAAATCACATTGTATGATTTTTAAGTAATTAATTTGCATTTTATTGCATGACATAAGTATTTGATACATCAGAAAAGCAGAACATAATATTTGGTACAGAAACCTTTGTTTGCAATTACAGAGATCATACGTTTCCTGTAGGTCATGACCAGGTTTGCAAACACTGCAGCAGGGATTTTGACCCACTCCTCCATACAGACCTTCTCCAGATCCTTCAGGTTTCGTGGCTTTCGCTGGGCAATACGGACTTTCAGCTCCCTCCAAAGATTTTCTATTGGGTTCAGGTCTGGAGACTGGCTAGGCCACTCCAGGACCTTGAGATGCTTCTTACGGAGCCACTCCTTAGTTGCCCTGGCTGTGTGTTTCGGGTCATTGTCATGCTGGAAGACCCAGCCACGACCCATCTTCAATGCTCTTACTGAGGGAAGGAGGTTGTTGGCCAAGATCTCGCGATACATGGCCCCATCCATCCTCCCCTCAATACGGTGCAGTCGTCCTGTCCCCTTTGCAGAAAAGCATCCCCAAAGAATGATGTTTCAACCTCCATGCTTCACGGTTGGGATGGTGTTCTTGGGGTTGTATTCATCCTTCTTCTTCCTCCAAACACGGCGAGTGGAGTTTAGACCAAAAAGCTCTATTTTTGTCTCATCAGACCACACGACCTTCTCCCATTCCTCCTCTGGATCATCCAGATGGTCATTGGCAAACTTCAGACGGGCCTGGACATGCGCTGGCTTGAGCAGGGGGACCTTGCGTGCGCTGCAGGATTTTAATGCATGACGGCGTAGTGTGTTACTAATGGTTTTCTTTGAGACTGTGGTCCCAGTTCTGTTCAGGTCATTGACCAGGTCCTGCCGTGTAGTTCTGGGCTGATCCCTCACCTTCCTCATGATCATTGATGCCCCACGAGGTGAGATCTTGCATGGAGCCCCAGACCGAGGGTGATTGACTGTCATCTTAAACTTCTTCCATGTTCTAATAATCGCGCCAACAGTTGTTGCCTTCTCACCAAGCTGCTTGCCTATTGTCCTGTAGCCCATCCCAGCCCAGTCTACAATTGTATCCCTGATGTCCTTACACAGCTCTCTGGTCTTGGCCATTGTGGAGAGGTTGGAGTCTGTTTGATTGAGTGTGTGGACAGGTGTCTTTTATACACGTAACGAGTTCAAACAGGTGCAGTTAATACAGGTAATGAGTGGAGAACAGGAGGGCTTCTTAAAGAAAACCTAACAGGTCTGTGAGAGCCAGAATTCTTACTGGTTGGTAGGTGATCAAATACTTATGTCATGCAATAAAAAGCTAATTAATTACTTAAAAATCATACAATGTGATTTTCTGGATTTTTGTTTTAGATTCCGTCTCTCACAGTTGAAGTGTACCTATGATAAAAATTACAGACCTCTACATGCTTTGTAAGTAGGAGAACCTGCAAAATCGGCAGTGTATCAAATACTTGTTCTCCCCACTGTACGTACTTTGGTGTGAAAAATGCAAATCAATTCCAGAACAACAGCAAAGGACCTTGTGAAGATGCTGGAGGAAACAGGTACAAAAGTATCTATATCCACAGTAAAACGAGTCCTATATCGACATAACCTGAAAGGCCGCTCAGCAAGCAAGAAGCAACGGCTCCAAAACCGCCATAAAAAAGCCAGACAACTGTTTGCAACTGCACATGGTGACAAAGATTGTACTTTTTGGAGAAATGTCCTCTGGTCTGATGAAATAAAATAGAACTGTTTGCCCATAATGACCATCGTTATGTTTGGAGGAAAAAGGGGAAGGCTTGCAAGCCGAAAAACAACATCCCAACCGTGAAGCACGGGGGTGGCAGCATCATGCTGTGGAGGTGCTTTGCTGCAGGAGGGACTGGTGCACTTCACAAAATAGATGGCATCATGAGGAAGGAAAATGATGTGGATATATTGAAGCAACATCTCAAGATATCAGTCAGGAAGTTAAGGCTTGGTCGCAAATGGTTCTTCCAAATGGACAATGACCCCAAGCATACTTCCAAAGTTGTGGCAAAATGTCTTAAGGACAACAAAGTCAAGGTATTGGAGTGGCCATCACAAAGCCCTGACCTATATCCTAGAAAATGTATGGGCAGAACTGAAAAACCGTGTGCGAGCAAGGAGGCCTACAATCCTGACTCAGTTACACCAGCTCTGTCAGGAGGAATGGGCCAAAATTCACCCAACTTATTGTGGAAAGCTTGTGGAAGGCTACCCAAAACGTTTGACCCAAGTTAAACAATTTAAAGGCAATGCTACCAAATACTAATTGAGTGTATGTAAACATCTGACCCACTGGGAATGTGATGAAATAACTAAAAGCTGAAATAAATCATTCTCTCTACTATTATTCTGACATTTCACATTCTTAAAATAAAGTGGTGATCCTAACTGACCTAAGACAGGGAATTTTTACTAGGATTAAATGTCAGGAATTGTGGAAAACTGAGTTTAAATGTAATTGGCTAAGGTGTATGTAAACTTCCGACTTCAACTGTATATGAAGTGCCTTGGAAGTAAAAGAGGGTTTTGTCTGGACTGGACCATTGCCTTCATATACAGTATTATCCACAACAGGGAGTCCTCAAGAGCAGGTGAAGGAAGGGCTCAAGTTTTCAGAATGGCACCAATGCCGGTATCGATTCTTTCTTTTTTTTACTTCACTCACAAGGTCTTCGAATGGAAACAAAGAAACAAGACAAATCATTTTTAAATGGCAATATGGATGATGCACTTCATTGTTTAAAAACATCCTGCCAATGTCAGGGTAAAAGGGTAAATCCTTCATTACAATGAGCCCATAGAACAGTGGATGGGGGAAGGGGTTTCAGAATAGCCTGCACATTCAAATTGTATTAGGTTACATGTACTGCCCTGAAAGCAAACAGAACTGAAACCAGGTGTGTATCTGCCATATTTGACCAAAAGCAGACAGTATTGTACTTTTAACCAGGTGAATGAGGAGAGATGACGTGGCCAACAGAAGAGTTTATCATTACATATTGCTTATACATGCAATAAGCATGTAATAATAATGCTGAGTGAGCTAGCCTAGTACGCAAGCAATGTTCTACCTACTGGGATAGATGGGATAAATGACGAAATGCAGTAGTATGTCAAAACTGTCGTTTTCGGAAGTGAAAGCGATGTATGGTTTGTATTCATCGATGTCATCAGCCTCCGAGACAGAGGCTGACCAATTGTCATGGCTAGAAGGGTTCCTAATTGTTAAATAAACGTCAAAAGTTTTGGGGGGGAATTTTACCTAACCTTTACTATTTTCCTAAACGTAACCTAATTATCCTTACCTGCTACGTTAATCCTCCTAACCTGCTCCGTAATTTCTCTTAACCTGCTAGGAAAAGTCAAATCTGACGTTAATTTGGCAAAAGCTGGATCCCTTCTAGCCATGACCCTGTCCCAGTTGCAGTCACACAAAATAACAAAGACTTAATTCCGTATAGTAGCTCGCTGACAGTGAGCACTGAGCAGTCATTGTTCATGTTATTTTATTTTGCCTATAGAAACTGTAAGAACAACAAACGTATGACATTATATTTAGCTCTTAATAAGAAATCGGATCCACGAGAAATTGTTTTATATTTCAATGTCAATTTGTTTTACAACGAAATAATGAAATGCCATGGATGCTACATGTAGTAAATGTCGATAACTGCAGTGGAGCAGCTGTGTCGAGTCCAAATGTTTTCATCATGTTTTTGTTTCTGATACAGATTAGCCATACAATGTGTTACATTTTCCATCCATTGGGAGAGGGGATATAAAAAGTATGCCATTAAACGCTTATACTGTAGGCTATCATGCCTACTCAATAAATGTAAAATTGAACTGCAAAAATAGATAGGCTACTGTATTATAAATACATTGCGTGAAAAGCACTGTGTACCTGCCATTATATTATTCTCTGTTTTGATGTATTAGTTCAAATAAGTATTGAAATATCCTTTGATCAAAATTCTTGCGCACACCTGCACACAAAAGACAGGAACGCAAAATGTCAACAGCTATGCAAGGTGAAGGAATGGAATTTTCAGTGCTCTTTCACTTTCCCCTACTTGAACTTTCCTTTACATATTACCCCATCCATGGCATTTCAATGAGGGAGGCTATAAAGGTAGGGCAGGTAGCCCACCGTTTAGAAGTAGTGTTCAGGGATTTATCAATTGACTGGACACATGGCAACTCTTAACGTGTCCTATGTGGTGCATCTTCTGTGTGTAATTGTTCTTTACCCGGTTGTGTATGCTAAATGCAGTGACCGAAAATAGCAAATGTATTATCTTTCTCAAACTCGCCAGACCCTCAATGATTTTGCCATGGTAGGTCAATTTCTTTAACCTGTTACCCATTCACCATATAGGCAGAGACATATTTAGAAATATGGCCCTGAATATAGGCTGTAGCATATATACTGTGAGATCATACGTTATGTATTCTAGTTGCAAAACAGATTATTGGAGCTTGATTCATTAATATATTCAGTTGTTTTATTGATATATGGTGTCTTTTCTGTGTTTTATAGGAGAGGATACCAAGAGGCTGTATCCAAGAGGCGGAAATGATAATTGTCCAACGTCCAACGCTTTCAATAGAGGTGATCAAGAGATCATGAGTGGCTACAATTTTAGTGTTAGTCTAGTTCAATTGCATGGTTACACTGGGTGTTATTCTGATTACAGGAGGGGGGGAAAGCTTTGGACACTGAGACTTGCGTTTCAACTAGCCAGCAAGCTCTTCCAACAAAACCTAACACTTGTGAAATGGAATATCATCAAACTCAGGGAGCTCCAACACCTTCTTGCTCGACAAAATATGACCTATTCGGAATTGTGTAAGTTCTTGGTTATGTTTAATTTGTTAACTGTAGCTTGTTACGCAATTATTGTTATTATTATTATTCATGTAATCACATGGACATTTATATTAATGTTGTTTGTTGTTTATTATTTCAGGTCAGAGACATGCGTCTGCGTCTAAACCTTCCAATTGGAGATATGCTTAAGAACTACTTCAAACAGCTGGACGACTTTCTTTCACGTGAGGTAAAACATCTCACAGATTGGTAATTTTTGTCAACTGTGTTTCAAATCTAAACTGTTGGAGTAAGCCTAATACATTTTAGTCATTTAGCAGACGCTCTTATCCAGAGCGACTTACAGTTAGTGAATGCATACATTATTATTATTTATTTTTTCATACTGGCCCCCCATGGGAATCGAACCCACAACCCTGGCATTGCAAACGCCATGCTCTACCTACTGAGCTACATCCCTGCCGGCTATTCCCTCCCCTACCCTGGACCAATTGTGCGCCGCACCATGGGTCTCACGGTCGCTGCCGGCTATGACAGAGCCTGGATTTGAACCAGGATCTCTAGTGGCACAGCTAGCACTGCAATGCAGTGCCTTAGACCACTGCGCCACTCGGGAGTGGTGTATTATATATTATTTTCACATAAAACATATTTGTTTCACGTTTTTTCTTTCAGCGTTTCAGCTCGTGCTCATTGGAGGTCATGAGAGTTGAAATTGGGAGCATCCTGGGGGTATTTCACAATAAATCAAAAATGCCAAGAAAACACGTGTGAGAGTAGCATTACTTTTAGTTCATTTCTGCATGAAAATGTAATTTTGTTGAATATATGAATTATGCCACTGTAAGCTTTATATTTTTATGTTATTTCTACGTGTTGCAAATAATTACCATGTAGGCTATAATATTTAAATAAAGAGACAAACACGCCTTATGTTGGTTGAAATTGTGCTAGCAATTTTGTAAAATTCTGTGGTGTGATGCAACCTTGAAATGAAAAAATAAAAGAAACCCTTCTCCAAGGAAGCAGCGATGGCCAAACTATCAGCGTCTGAGGCGGCTACCTTCTGCGGCCACCAGTCGATCCAGGTTCTTGTGGGAATGGGTTACGTGACAGACATGCCAGCGGAGAGGCACTACCGCGACGCGCGAATCACTGAGATCTACGAGGGCACCAGTGAGATCCAGAGACTGGTGATAGCCGGCCAGCTGCTGAAGGAGTATGTGTCATAGAGACTTGCGGTCTGCTCCCCAAATGGCAGTCTATTCCCTACATAGTGCACTATTTCTGGACCCCAATGGCCAAAAGTTTCAATAATAATGACGCTGGAGATGGATGGCTGCCATTTTCTGGCGCTCCTAACTTCTAACCAACGGCATTTGTTTGTTTTGCATGGTTGTAACTTATATTGTACATAATGTTGCAGTTACCATCTCTTATGACTGAAAATAACTTCTGGACATCAGAACAGCGATTACTCACCTTGAACTGGACAAAGATTTTTTCTATAATGAGTCGGGCATGAAGGATATACTGCTTTCCCCCAAATCTCTGTCATTAGCATGCAGAAAAGATGGAGGTGAAGAAAAGACTGGAGATACAAGGGGCGGAGGTTGGGGGGCCTTGTGAGAATTAGTCAGCGAGTGGGTAAACCGCCACTACCATCCATCCTATTGGCCAACGTGCAATCATTGGAAAATAAACTGGATGATCTATGATCAAGACTATCCTACCAAGGGGACATTAAAAACTATTGTGTTTCACCAAGTGGTGGCTGAACGACCACATGGATAATATAGAGCTGGCTGGGTTTTACGTGCATCAGCAGGACAGAGCAGCTATGTCTGGTAAGATGAGGGGCAGGGGTGTGTGTCTATTTGTCAATAACAGCTGGTAAATGATGTCTAATATTAAAGAAGTCTCAAGGTATTGCTCGCCTGAGGTAGAGTACCTCATGATAAGCTGTAGACCACACTATCTACCAAGAGAGTTCTCATCTATATTATTATTAGCCGTCTATTTACCACCACAAACCGATGCTGCCACTAAGACCGCACTCAACAAGCTGAATAAGGCTATAAGCAAACATGAAAATGCTCATCCAGAAGCAGCACTCCTAGTGGCCGGGGACTTTAATGCAAGCAAACTTAAATCCGTTTTACCTCATGTTTTACCTCATGTCACATGCGCAACCAGAGGAAAAAAACCTCTAGACCATCTTTACTCCACACACAGAGATGCATACAAAGCTCTCCCTCGCCCTTCATTTGGCAAATCTGACCATAATTCTATCCTCCTGATTCCTGCTTACAAGCAAAAACTAAAGCAGGAAGTACCAGTGACTCACTCAATACGGAAGTGGTCAGATGATATGGATGCTACGCTACAGTACTGTTTTGCTAGCACAGACGGGAATATGTTCTGGGATTCATCCAACGGCATTGAGGAGTATACCACCTCAGCTTCATCAATAATTGCATCGATGACGTCGTCCCCACAGTGACCGTACGTAAATATCCCAACCAGAAGCCATGGATTACAGGCAAAATCCGCACCGAGCTAAAGGCTAAAGCTGCCACTTTCAAGGAGCGGGACGCTAATCTGGACTCTTATAAGAAATCTCGAAATGCCCTCAGACGAACCATCAAACAGGCAAAGCGTCAATACAGGACTAACATTGATTCCTACTACACCGGCTCTGACGCTAGTCGGATGTGGAAGGGCTTGCAAACTATTACGGACTACAAAGAGAAACCCAGCAGGCGAGCTGCCCAGTGACGCGAGCCTACCAGACGAGCTAAATGCCTTTTATGGTCGCTTCGAAGCAAGCAACACTGAAACATGCATGAGAGCACCAGCTGTACCAGACGACTGTGTGATCACGCTCTTCGTAGCCGATGTGAGCAAGACCTTAAAACAGGTCAACATTCACAAGGCCGCGGGGCCAAACGGATTACCAGGATGTGTACTCAGAGCATGCGCGGACCAACTGGCAAGTGTCTTCAATGACATTTTCAACCTCTCCCTGACCGAGTCTGTAACACCTAGCTGTTTCAAGCAGACCACCATAGTCCCAGTGCCCAAGAAAGTGAAGGGTAACCTAAATGACTACTGCCCTGTAGCACTCACGTCGGTAGCCATGAAGTGCTTTGAAAGGCTGGTCAAGGCTCACTCCAACACTGCCCTTTCCCACCTGGACAAAAGGAACACATATGTGAGAATGCTGTTCACTGATTACAGCTCAGCGTTCAAAACCATAGTGCCCACAAAGCTCATCACTAAGCTAAGGACCCTGGAACTAAACACCTCCCTCTGCAACTGGATCCTGGACTTCCTGACGGGTCGCCCCCAGGTGGTAAGGATAGGCAACAACATCAGCCACGCTGATCCTCAACATGGGGGCCCCTCAGGGGTTCGTGTTTAGACCCCTCCTGTACTCCCTGTTCACCCACGACTGCGTGGCCAAGCACGACTCAAACATCATCATTACGTTTGCTGACACAACAGTTGTAGGCCTGATCACAGACAACGATGAGACAGCCTATAGGGATGATGTCAGAGACCAGACAGTGTGGTGCCAGGACAACAACCTATCCCTCAATGTGAGCAAGACAAAGGAGCTGATCGTAGACTACAGGAAAAGGAGAGCCGAACAGGCCCCCATTAACATCGACGGGGCTGTAGTGGAGCGGGTCGAGAGTTTCAAGTTCCTTGGTGTCCACATCACCAACAAACTATCATGGTCCAAACACACCAAGACAGTCGAGAAGAGGGCACGACTACACCTTTTCCCCCTCCGGAGACTGAAAAGATTTAGCATGGGTCCCCAGATCCGCAAAAATTTCTAGAGCTGCTCCATCGAGAGAATCCTGACTGGTTGCATCACCGCCTGATATGGCAACTGCTCGGCATCGGACCATAAGGCGCTACAGAGGGTAGTGCGTACGGCCCAGTACATCACTGGGGCCAAGCTTCCTGCCATCCAGAACCTATATTCTAGGCGGTGTCAGAGGAAGGCCCAAAAAATGGTGAAAGACTCCAGTCACCCAAGTCATAGACTGTTCTCTCTTCTACCGCAAACCAGAGCGCCATGTCTAGGTCCAAAAGGCTCCTTAACAGCATCTACCCCCAAGCCATAAGACTGCTGAACAATTAATCAAATGGCCACTCGGACTACTTACAAAGCCCCCCCCCCCCCCCCCCCCCCCCCCCCTTTGTAAGGTAGAATCCACATGAATGTAAAAGTGTTTAGAAACATGTTCCAGTCTTATTTACAATAAAAGTTACTCCAAAATGACACAATACATTATTTACCATTAATTTCTGTTGGGCAAAAAATTATCTGAAACACAACCAAAACAAACAGCAAATGCATCTAACAAGTTTGTAGTCATTGCGTGCTATCATGAAAAATGTATGCACTCACTAACTGTAAGTCGCTCTGGATAAGAGTGTCTGCTAAATGACTAACAAATGTAAAAAATAATAAAATAAATATGGGACCAAATACTTACAGTGCCTTGCAAAAGTATTCATCCCCCTTGGCGTTTTTTCTATTTTCTTGCATTACAACCTGTAATTTAAATTGATTTTTATTTGGATTTCATGTAATGGACATACACAAAATAGTCAGAATTGGTGAAGTGTAATGAAAAAAAAAACTAGTTACAATTTTTTTTTAAAAAATATATATATAACGGACAAGTGGTGCGTGCATATGTATTCACCTTTGCTATGACGCCACTAAATAAGATCTGGTGCAACCAATTACCTTCAGAAATCACATAATTAGTTAAATAAAGTCCACCTGTGTGCAATTTAAGTGTCACATGATCAGTCACATGATCTCAGTATATATACACACCTGTTCTGAAAGGCCCCAGAGTACGCAACACCACTATTATTTATTTGATTTTTATTTCACCTTTATTTAACCAGGTAAGCCAGTTGAGAACAAGTTCTCATTTATAACTGCGACCTGGCCAAGATAAAGCAAAGCAGTGCGATAAAAACAACAACACAGAGTTACATATGGGGTAAAACAAAACATAAAGTCAAAAATACCACAGAAAATATATATACAGTGTGTGCAAATGTAGCAAGTTATGGAGGTAAGGAAATAAATAGGCCATAGTGCAAAATAATTACAATTAGTATTAACACTGGAATGATAGATATGCAAGAGATGATATGCAAATAGAGATACTGGGGTACAAATGAGCAAAATAAATAACAATATGGGGATGAGGTAGTTGAGTGGGCTAATTTCAGAAGGGCTGTGTACAGGTGCAGTGATCCGTAAGGTGCTCTGACAACTGATGCTTAAAGTTAGTGAGGGAGATAAGAGTCTCCAGCTTCAGAGATTTTTGCAGTTTGTTCCAGTCATTGGCAGCAGAGAACTGGAAGGAATGGCGGCCAAAGGAGGTGTTGGCTTTGGGGATGACCAGT